TAAGTGCAAGGGACTGGACTATACCACCTGTTGAGGTCCTTTCCAGTCCTGTATTTCTGTGATTCTATGGAGAAAATCAAGATATCTGTCTCTATCTGTGAGATTCTCTTTTTAATAGACCAAGCTAACAAAAAGTATGCCTCTTATTCTGTGATTACAATATCCCTCCCTGGTTGTGTTCCATAGGGACAATTAAGCTGTCAGTTTCGGAGTTAAAACTTGAGAGATCAAGCTTTCTTGTCAGCTGTCTTAAATACTGTAGAACTGGTCACTTTCACAACTCTTGAATCCAACCCTTCCAGTAATCACACTAACAACTACTAAAGGGGAAAAAAAAGTAAGGGCGAAATAAAGTGAACACTCTTACACTCACTCTCTGTCAGGAGTGAAGTTTTGTCCACTTCTTGATCCTGTTCGATATGAGAGGTTCTTTGATACTATGGTGTTATGCACCAGAAAAGAAAATAGTCAAATTAGGTGAAAAAGAATATAAGCCCCTCTGGGGGTTTTTCCACGGCATATTGCACAGTCGTGTTAGTATGACAAAAGGAAATAGGAAGTAGGTTTTTTTGGTTATGTCTAGTTTGTAAAAGGTAACCTTATTCTAAGAGTGCATGCAGTCTCAATTTTACCATCACTTCTCGTAAATAATTGTATGATGAATATTCTGCTTTTGTAATGTGTTGATTTTTATCAGTGAGGGAAAATCATCTAGTTATATGCATGTGTGTTTATACAATGGGTGGGACACAATGTGTATCACATACTTTGTTTATGCCCCTCTATGCACAATGAGCAGATGCTAAAAGGCTCAGAGACATTACTCATTTTAGTGATATTTCCCCTTGTTTAAAATGGGGAACACTGCAGGAAGCAGGAATATCTGTAGATCTACCATAAACTTTAAAGTATGCCGTGCGTGTGCATGTGTGTTTCTATTGGGAAGTATACATGTATATAATGGGACAGGGTCAGAGCAGAAGGCTATAAAAAAGTAGTGGAGGGGAGGTGTATAAGCATCAGGCTGAGGAGATTTCTGTTCTCAGAGTAACAGGGAGGGGTTGGTTTAGAACCAGCAGAGGCAATTTGGGGCAGTGGAATGTTGTGGCTAATTGACCAGGCCTGCAGAGTCAGGCCAGGGTAGGTTAATCAGGGATAATTATGAAAAGCGGTTCCGACTGGCTGAAAAATAAGTTTGCCTCCAGTTGGTGTGGGCATGTATAGCTGAGCGGACTGAGGAAAGAGTTGCTGGGAGTAGGAAGAAAGGAGACAACAACTGAACAATAAGAGGACAAACTGGAGAGAGAAGGAAGGTGCCGGGTAAGGTGTTGAGAAGTAGCCCACGGTCTTGGAGCAGTATTATAACAGGTGTCGGGGTCTTGCATAGGCATCTACTATTACAGGGCCCTGGGCTGGAACTCAGAGTAGAGGGTGGGCCCAGATTCCCCTCAACACCCACATCCCCGTTTCCACTTGTGGAGAAGTTTATTCTCCATTCTTACCCTACGCTGGCCAATGATGGGAAGAGCTGAACAAATAGCAAACTAAAGCCCTGGGCATGGTACCTAAAACTATGGGCTGCTGTGAGTCTCTGAGGCAAGCAAATCCACCAGGAAGCGCAGGACCCACTGAGTTTTCATAGGGGCTTTGTCACAATAAGTCTATCGACAGTTGAGATCTAACCAGTTTGAATAAATAAAATAAAAGGACAGATTGCTCATTATTTGTAGTGGTGGGGATTTGTTTTTGGTAAGTGTCCTTAGAAATAACATAAATTATTGGTATGATTGATCTACCAATAAGGAGATGGGTCAGTACTTAGCTGAGCTATTTTAAAAACAGATTTTGAGTAATTGAGACAGCGGTGTTCGTATTTGTAGGCTACACACACGCAGTGGGGAGTCAAGTATCTAAACAGTCAAAAAGTACATACAAATAAAAAAATCGCCATCAGTCCAGCACTAGCATGTCTATGCTTTTTTAAAAAAGCAATCTCTAATAATGTCTATGGATTTAATGGTGGATTTACTTTTCACAGAGAGCAGGGCTAAAATTGTGGCCTTAAAGTGCTATAGAAGGATTTTGCAGCTCTTTGGTTCAGATCACATCATGATGACACCCTCTGGGCTGCAATAATAAACCACAATGGGGAAGCTGAGAATGGATTTTCATTCCCACCTCTGACTCTGCTTACTTTGTCTGTTCTCAGCACAGCCTGATAGATATTTTAATGCATTATTTTGGTGGCCTAGTGTTGATCTTTTATAATAAGCACATGATATGGCAATTAATGAAACAGTGCACTGAGCACCAGGAGCTATGATTCATCTCAGGGAAGCACTTAATCACTGGAGCGCCCCTACGTTACTTCAACATACTTTGCAAAGAATAATCGGTGACAGTAGATGGATGGGTCTCCTAGTTAAGGGAGGGAATCTGTACTTGTGATGGGCTAGTGGCTATTTTTCATTTGGGGGAGGGAGTTCAGTGGTTAAAGTCCTAGAGAGCAGAAGTTCAATTAATGAACTAAGGCATAATCATTTTAGAAATGACTTGGTCTCAGATGCTAACATGAATGATTCTGGCATTCAAATCTTACTATCTTATTCCACGCATTTCTTTTGAAGCACTACCAGCATATGTTGCTTGTTACTGTGCAAAAATCCACAAAGCCTTTTTTTCTCTATAAATAAATACTTTTTTATGAGTTTTCTTAGGCCAGGGAACTTGTCTTACTCCATGTTTCTGTAAAACACCATGGGGGGAAAAAAATGCAGTACTGCATACATTACTGTTTTAAAGAAAATAAATAAAAACAAATCTATAGGATACCATCGTGTAGTCTATTGGAACAGGGTAAATTAAAGACTGCTAATAATGTGTGTCTCAAAGTGGACTCCCCAATGCTGGAGGGGAGGGGGCCCTGAGCCTCGGGGGCTGCACCCAGGCAAACCAGGAGGTGCATCCAGGCCCCAGAGCTTAGGTTCTCCACCCCTGCAGTAAAGAATGTGGTGAGATTTCACATAAAACTGGCTATCAACTGAGTTGGTGTGTGATTCCCTTCATGCTGGTCCAGATGTTCACATGCAAAATTAAAATCTCTAAATCATAGAAACATTATGACTGGACGAGATCTTGAGTGATCATCCAGTCCAACCCATGTCCTGAGGCAGGACCAAGTCTAGACCATATCTGGACCATACCTGGTAGCTATTAGGCTAGCCTGTTACTATCCTTTTTATACTAGTCCTTAACATATCTGAAGACTATTAGCAGGTTCCCCCCTTGGTAGTCTTTTCTCCAGACTGAACATGCCATGTTTGTGTTTTCCCTCATAGGTCAAGTTTTCTAAATCTTTTATAATTTTTTGTTGTACTCCTCTGGGCTCTCTCATATTTGTCTACACTGTTCTGAAGGTGTGATGCCCAGAATTGGACATAGCAGGGCTGAATAGAGTAGGAAAATTGCATTGTATGTGTTACATACAACACTCCTGCTAATGTACCCCCGATTTTTAGCCTTTTTTGCAACTCATTGCATTGTTGACTCCTCCTTTAATTTGTGAATCCCTGTTCTTTATAGCCATACTACTTTCTAGCTGTTTATTCCCCATTTTGTAGTTGTGCATTTGATATGTTTCCCATTTTTAGTGAAAGTCTTTAGTGACTCAAATCTTATTGATTTGAGACCGGTTCTCTAATTTGTTAAGATTGGAAGACAGGGCTCAAATTCAAAATAGTGTGCTGGCTACCTCCCTTCCCCACCACAGCTTGATGTCATCCACAGATTTTATAAACTTACTCCCAACTCCATTATCCAAGTCATTAATTAAAATATTGTAGATCTAGGATTAACCTCTTGGGATTCCACTAGATACACTTCCCCAGACTGACAATGAAGCATTGATAACTGCTCTTTGAATATGGTCTTTCAACAAGTTGTGCACCCTCTATATAATAATTGATTCTAGACTACATTACTCTCCTTTGCTTATAAAACTGTCAGGCTATGTCTACACTGGCATGAATTTCCGGAACTGCTTAAAACGGAATACTATTCCGTTTTCAGTTTTTCCGGAAAAGGAGCGTCTACATTGGCAGGCTGCTTTTCCGGAAAAGCCCTTTTTCCGGAAAAGCATCTGTGGCCAATGTAGACACGCTTTTCCGGAAAAGAGCCCCAATCGCCATTTTCGCGCTTTTTCTGGAAAAGACTACTGGGCTGTCTACACTGGCCCTTTTCTGGAACAGTGTTCCGGAATAAGGACTTATGCCTGAGCGGGAGCAGAATAGTTTTTCCGGAATAGTGGCTGATTTTGTACAATAGAGTGTCGTTGCTTTTCCGGAAATTCAAGGGCCAGTGTAGACAGCTCACAGCTTATTCCGGAAAAGCGGCTGATTTTCCGAAATAAGTGGCCCAGTGTAGACACAGCCTCATGGTATGGTGTGAAAAGCCTTACTAAACTTGAGATATCACATCTACTGCTTACCCCCAACCACTCAGCCAGTAATTCTCTAAAAGAAGGCAATTAGGTCTGTTTGGCATAATTTGTTCTTGTCAAATCTATGCTGTAGGTTACTTATCAACCTATCATCATCTTAGTTGACTTCAACAAAGGAATAGTGTGATGGATGTGCTATGAAAGTAATGGTTTGTTTCCATGTGGGAAAAGTTTAAAGGCTCCAGAAATGGACAACCACTTTACCATACTGTAGCCATTGTTTTGTCAAAGTTTTCATGTTTTTGCAGTGAGTTACATGGAGAAGAAAAGAAAGGGGGAAAGAATGACACAACAGCCAAATCCTTTCAATCTATGCCAAATAATGAGCTTAAATGTTGCCCGATTTGTCTTTGTAACTATTAATTTGCATTTTCGTGAGGGCCAAAGTAAATTTTATGGTCAGTTATTGAAATGTATTTTTTAAATCAGTGGTGGTACAACTATAAATGCTTTCCTTTTTTGCATTAATGTCATTGAATCCTTAACCCACAGTTTTTGACACATAACAGATTTAGAACATCTGCTGGACCATTTGGTGGATGTGGTGCCTTCCTTGGAATACCTCAGTTTACTAGGAAACATGGCTTGCCCAAATGAACTGGTCAGCGAGGAAAAGGATGAGGATGACTACCAGAGGTACAGGTTAGTATCTTCGCTCCAAAATATAAGATGAATCCATTTCTAAATACTGTGTGTAGTCAGGTGGATAAACCAGAGCATATTTAAAAAAAAAAACCTTCCTATGCTCTTTAGAAGCCTCCCCCTCCTTCCGGTCCCCAAAGCAGGGAGCCACAGGGAGCAGCCAGCCATTTTGAGCAGCCTGGGGCTGTGGTGGGTAGGGAGCCACCTAGATAAGAACCTCCTGGCCACAGCCTGCCTCAGTCCCTCCCTCCTACCAGCTTCCTGCCCCATGTCACCAGCTCCTCCTGCCCCAGGTCAGCATCCAAACCCTCTGCACCCTCCTCCCCCAAGTCATAATTCCCTCCCATACCGTGAATCCTCTCCTATACATCTCTCCCAGGCTAGACTTTTTTCTCCTGCACCCATAATCCCTCCTGGACCCTCCACCCCAGTCCCCTGCTCAAGATCGCACCCCCCTCCTTCACCCAAACTCCCACTCAGGCCCCACACCTTCTCCCGCATCCCAGTCCCCTACCTCAAACTCCCTTCTGCACCCAACCGCTGTCTCCTCCATAGATGTGGCTCTTGATCACTTACCAAAATCTTGGTGTGGCTCCTCCCATCAAAAATTATTGCCCACCCCAGTGTAGTGCCTTAGTATTTGAATAATCCCATTGATTTCGGTGGAATTGCAGAAGGGGGGGGCTCTGGTTCAGGAAACAACATATGCACGTGCTTAAGTCCCATTGAAGTCAAAGCAGTAAAGCACATGGGTGAAGTGAAACATGTTCTTTCTGGACTAGAGATGACCCTAATGGTGATCTTACACACTCTCTCCAGTCCAGCCCAGAGTACAGATGGCAGCATCTGACCATTTGAAAACATTAGCTTATGGTAGACTTGCTTCTTTCAACATACTTGAGAAGAAGTACATTGGGAATACAGAGAAGACACCTCTTTAAATATCCCACTTCTCTGCTCAAAGACAGAGCAGTCCGTAGCGTCTCACCATGAGTCTGAAAATAAGCAAACTATCTGTGTGACATTGGAATGTGTTTTTCCCTGGGCAAAGCTAGACCAAAGGTAGTTTGGCAAGGACCACGAAACCATTTGGAAGTGGAAGCCTGGTAAAGTGTCCCCCCTTAAGGTTAGCCCTTCAGAAATATAGCTGGGAATTAGTTATATGCAAATAGGTTTATGGTTTTGAAGAGCAAAACTTAATATAAAGATTAATTGTCATTGGTGATCACAGTGATGGCATATAGATCCAAGACTCTGCGGAATGCCTGCTGAAGTGACATCATTCTTCATAGCTGCTGCCCTCCGGCAGTGAGACGCTATTATAATAAAATTCTATTTGATGTCATCTGCGCTTCTTTGCCCCAGTCAAATGTGATACAGGGTTTCAGACCAAGGATACTGGCATTTCCCACATTAGTCCTCTCTGTGTTAAAAAGGAGCCAAAAAAGCATGGTCAGTATGCTGTCTACCTGAGTGAGAAACAGCTTTTTCTTCAGTACGTTAGCAAATATATGTACTTATAAAATAAAACTAGGATTATCTCTTTACGCAGTCAAAAGTCTTATATAGAAGTTGTGAGGTATAGCTTAAAACGTGGAGCGGAAAGGATAGCAGGCCTGAAAGGAGGCTTATTTGGAAGGTGTGTGGATCAGAAGGAGTGGCTTATTGCTAATACTGTGGTTGGTTGAAATTTTACATGTGCAGTTGGGCAGCAACACAGCTCTCTTGGGTATGAACATGCTCTATTCAGTATCCCCAACTTCTGATAATAGTTTCCAGTGTATCTTTTGCCTAACGATGTTAACTTTTAACAATCCCGCGTTTGAATTCAGCCGAGCTGTGGCAATTTGGTTTTCACTAAGTAACGTGGCCTAGATTTTATAAAATATTTTCCCATCACTTTCACCCTGAAGTGGAAGGTATGTCTAATACCCGGCTTACAAAAAGCCTGATAGTGCTGTCTCTATGTAAATTTATGTGACATTTTCACCAGAGAATTGCTTAAAAATGAATGATATTTCTACAGTTTACTGTTTTTCACTTTAAGTACACTTTCTGACAATATGTCTCCTATTAATCATTTAAGCAAAAGTAGTACCTTAAAGGAGCCATTCAGAGGCAAGGACCCATGCTTCATTTAGTGCTGTCTGAAAAAAATCTTATTGATTGACAATCTCTGTGGTTATGTGATGTAATATTTATAATGTGTCACCCTGCCATACATCAAAACAAGGCATGTCTGTTGTTTCATTTCAGTGCAAAATGTTGATTTCTATGAGGTCAAGATAGTTTTAGGTCACGCTGTGTCAAACCACTGTGTCAGAAATGTGAAGTGACTGGATTTATCTATCTGTTGATAACTGAAACATTTTATGCTCCCCCCCTCCTCCTTCCAGATTTTTTTTTAACTTTGGCTTCTATAAAAACAGTTTTAATTAACCAGTTTTAATGTGAATAGCCTACTCAGTAGTTAAAAAACCTATAGCCCTGCAACTTCCTGGTACTTTCCCATAAGCATTCATTATATCTCATAAACTACGCTTGTCTGCACGTCACTGTAATTTGATCTACAGAAGTGTTAGCTGAGGCTGCTCTGAAGTGTCATACTTTAACCGGCCCTTGTAAACCCGACTGGTGAGAGAACTAAAAAGTACTTAGTTTATGTTAATGTAGTCCTATTGGAAATTGGACCTTTCAGTGCACATCAGCACAGTTTACAGAGCAGATGGAGCACAATATATTAGGCCATGCTGCTGGGGAGGAAGGGGGAAGACTAGAGTGTGTGCTAATGGGCAATTCTAAAGAACCTGGAGGCCCCGTCTGCCACACCCATTACTAGGGTGCCAGGTGTCCTGTATTGAACCGGTTAAAAAAAAAATCAGAAAATACCAGACATCTAAAATATCTGGTATTTTCTGTTTTTTCTCTGAGACCCAGCTCGGGCGCCTGACAGAAGGCTACTTGGGATGTGCAGCACAGCTCGCACTGGCTGGGGTGGAGGGAAGGGGGAGTGGCCTGGGAATTAAAGGGGACGTGACTGCATTTTAGCCCTGCTCTTTTTTTTCTTTTTTTTTCCCCAGCAACTTTTTCTGTGGCCTTTTTTGCTCAACAGAATTTTTTCCTGGTGTGGTTTTTTTTGGTTTTGTTTTTCTTTGGGAGTTTTTTTTTTTTTCAGGTATTTTTTGTGAAACCATCTGGCAATCCTGTCGGCTACAGCGGTAGAGGCTGCGGTCAGAGCCTCAGGCCCTTTAGAATCACAACAGGAGCCCTGCAATGCACACGTGCACACACTAGTGGGCTCTGAAGGCCGTGTGGGCGGTGTTGTGGATTGGCTGCGCCCAGCCCCGCCCCTTTTACCTGTGGCCCCACCCCTTTTGGGAGTGTGGAGCTGTACCTCCCATATGTTGCCCAGGGGCCTGAAGATTTTGTCCGCTCCTCTGTGTTGGACCATTCTACAGTTCGTATCACCATCGTCATGTAGACAAGCCCTTTTAGTGCATACCTACACAGCAATTAGACACCTTGGACTGGCCTGGGCTGGCTGACTCAGGCTCAAGGAGAGAGGGTATTTAATTACAGTGTAGATGTTTGGGCTCAGGCTGCCACTCAAGTTCTGGTACGATTCCACCGCCCCAGGGCCTGGATCCCGGACTCTAGCCTGAGCCTGAATAGCCACACTGCAGGAAAACACCACCACAGCCTACCAGCCCATTAGCCTGACCCCAAGTCAGCTAGCATGGCCTAGCCACAGGATTTTAACTGCAAAATGGAGTGCACATTTGCTATTAGTATCAAAAGGTCTTAGCATGCATACTTATTATGGCTGCTATTGTGGGGAGAATATTGACTAGGTATCTATATAGGCAGGTGAGAGTTTCAAAGTGTTGATTTAAAGTGCTGCGGTTAGGACATACAAATTTGAAGGGAAACATCTTGCAAAATGCATAGCCTATTCACCTCCATTCCAGTCCATTGGTGTTTCAGGATATTTAGTTGAGACTCAGTGCCTCATAGAGTTGGGCCCTAATTTTTCAAAAAAAAGTTTGACACAACTTGTATGAAATTTAAAAAATAAAGCACTTCCCTCCACAGACACATTTGCACACATAGCAGAGCTTTTTTGTTTTGAAGTCAAACCTCTTGGTAGTCACAGCCTGAACAGTGCTGCAACCTGCAGATGGGTGAGAACCAGAAAGTAACTGGCTAGAAATCCAGGCTTTACGGTTTATTTTTGCTGAAACAAGCTGAATGGAAATGCAAAAACTAAACCAACCTAAACACTTGCTAAAAGCCTGACACCGTGGTGAAAAGTCAATTTTTTTTCAGCTTCTCAGTTGTTCTAATGATCTAAAGTTCTGTTAGTAGTACAAAATGAATTTTAATGCAATTTTTGAAGTCATTCTGTGTTTAAATACATATAGGATATTAGACATAATTTTACATCTACAATTATTCTTTCAGCAAGGCCCTGATCCTCTGATACTTGGTGGTGTTGAATGTGTGAAAAAAACTGTACTGTTTGTAATTTTTTTAATGTTTCTATTCAGTTTTTTTTTTTCAGAAGGGAAACCTCTCTCGCTCTCAACTAGCACCACTGAAAATTCTGTAACAGAGTTTTTGTGTTTGTGAATAGTGTGAATATGTTTAAAATGTGTTCTGTTTCCTTTTTGCGTAAAATGATGTAATTTAAAACGTTGGCCAACATTACATTTTTGTATGTTTTTTTTTCAAGACATATTTTCTCTAATGCTTTGAGGAGGGGGAAGAAAAGAAGTTCATGGGAATGTGCAGGATAACTGGGAGTTAAGACGTATATTAAAATATAGGGAAGGGAGGAAAACCAGAAAACATTCCAGTACAAAAAGGAAGCTGGGGGGGAATAAAGTGGCTTGAAAAACAGTGTGCATTCTAAATAACCTCATCTGCAATCTCTACTTTGAAGATTGCAAGAAAGCAAAGGTCATGACCCAGAGATCAAAGGAACAGAAGTCAACACAATA